GATAAGGGAGCTAAAAAATAGAATGGAAGAAAGACAGCCTCTTCAGTAAATGGTGCTGGCAAAATTGGTTAACAACTTGTAGAAAACTAAAGCTAGATCCTTATATATCACCCTGCACCAGAATCAACTCCAAATGGATCAAAGACCTCAGAGTCAAAGCAGACACTCTGAAAACATTACAGAACGGATTAGGAGAAACCCTAGGTCTCCTTGGCACAGGCCGAAATTTTCTTAATAGAGACCCAGAAGCACAACAAATCAAAGAAAGGCTGGATAAATGGGACTGCATGAAGTTGCAGAGCTTCTGCATGGCAAAGGACATAGCCAGCAAGATCAATAGAAAGCCCATGGATTGGGAGAAGATCTTCACTAGCCATACAACGGACAAGGGTCTCATATCTAAAATATACCTGGAACTCAAAAAATAAATCCCCCAAACAACAAATCCTCAAACAACTGCCCAATAAACAAGTGGTCTAAAGACTTAAAGAAAAACTTCTCTGAAGAGGAAAGAAGGATGGCCAATGGACACCTGTAGAAATGCTTAACCTCCCTAGCCAAAAAAGAAATGCAAATCAAAACAACATTGAGATACCACTCACTCCAGTTAGAATGGCTAAAATCAAGAACTCTAAAAACAACAGATGCTGGAGGCGATTTGGACAGAAGGGAACCTTACTGCATTGTTAGTGGGAGTGTAAACTTGTTCAACCACTTTGGAAAGTGGTTGGAGGTTCCTCAAAAGACTCCACTTAGAGCTCCCATATGACCCAGCAATCCCACTTTTGGGCATTTACCCAAATGTTTACAAACAAGACCACACTAAAGCTACCAGCATAGGACTATGTTTCTTTCTTTTTTTTTTTTGAGGGAAGACAATTTTTTTACTGCACCCCCTTGTCTTCTATCTACTGTCCTTTTTGTGTATATTAATTTGCCGGGAAATGCAGTGGCTTCTAGGATCTCTTGAAAGTTCTTGGCAGGGAGTTTGCACTATTCCGGTGTGTATGGAGTAGGAGGAGACAGTTATCCAATCTTTCCTCTATCATATTTCCCATTCAAATGTGTTAAGTCTCATTAAAGGTCAACTTACCATGTTCTGTTTCTATATGTTTTGCTATTTCCATGCTGCAACTAATTTTGTGCTGTGCTACTCTCTTATTGTGTGTAGTTTATTACATGGTATTGTGCTGTAGTTCTAAATCCTGCAACCAGCTGCTAAAGGGGATGACTAATCACATTGCATTCATTTCTATACTGAATAGCCTTCTAAACATGTCAGTGGTATATTTCCAGCGGAAGGCCCAGCCTTCGTATTGTGTTGTGTTTTATATATGTGTGTGTACAGGATTTTGCTGATTTTATGCACCTTGGTTATTTATCTTTAGAATTTGAAGGGCTGACATTTGGCTGTACAAATGTGAGGATAAATATTGGTATGGAAATAAATTCATGCCTTCCTGGGCATCTTTGTTTATTTGCACATAAAATTCCTTTAGACATGCCTTTCCTTTGTGAACACTTTTCTAAAAATGGATATGTGTTCAGGGAGAAGGCAAAAAGCTGGGGGGGGGGTGGAAGATCCTTCTATTTGTTAAAAATATTTAAAAATGAATAGTTATGCTCTGGGCATCAGAATCCAAGGGCACAAGTGTGTGCCTTTTTAAAAAATTTGTCTTTCTGAAATGTGCATGAAATAATGATTATCTTTCTCCAGGTTAAAACAATATTTGTAAGAGTTTTTGTAGATACCCTTTTTTACGCTGTCACTGTATAATTGCATTTAATAGCACATTAGCAGTCGAAGGCACAAAGACAGAGCGGCTGGAAAGCCCCCGAAACCGAAGTACAGTCCCTACAATAAGCTTCCTAAGGCAGCACATCCACTGGGGGTGAGTGACATCTTTCTTTCCCAATAGATAACATGCTTTCTGTAATGTCCAGTCTGTGAGAATATACTTTTTGGAAAGGGGTGGGGAGGGGAGAATGTCAGTCAATAAGTGGTGTAAATGTACCTAAGATATCAAAATTGATTTTAGTGAGATCTCGATACTGCCATTGGCCCAATGATTTATGTCAAGCCTTTGCCCCATTTTAGCCACAGCTTAGTGTCTTACCTATTTGCGTTCAGATCCATCATTGAGTACAGCCAAGGGAGAAAAGATCAGATTCTTTCAATTCTTTAAGGGAGTCGCCTTGTGAAATCCGGTCTTGATGTGAGTGATGATGATAATCAAGGTAGAAGGTCAATAAAATACAACTTCTTGAATTGTCTTTTGAAGATTTTCAAGACAAAGCATTGCTATTGTACTCTCAATGGTTTGAGATGTTCAAAATACAGTCTCAAGAGGATGACTTTGTTTTACTTAATCCTTCATCCAAGGGAACTATAGAAGGCCTGGACAAATATATCCTGCAAAATGCCCTCTTTCATTACTCCAAAGTATGCCTTGTAGATGATACAGTGTCCTTGTGTAGAGATGACTAGGGTTATTTGGGAGGGAATCAGGGAGAATTGAGGAAACCTTCCAACATTGTATCTATAACCTATGACTGGTTGTGTGTGTGTGTGTGTGTGAAACCTTCCAACATTGTATCTATAACCTATGACTGGTTAAAGGGACTATCATTTCTATCAGACTCGGTCCTCAGTGAAAACGGAGGATGCCGGATTGTGCATTTTGAAATCTGTCTTTCTCAAATAGATCTTTTCATAGTTGGTGCTGTTGTGTACATGGACACATGAAAATATAGCTATAAGAAAGCTGTAGTCATTAATTAGAAGATGCTCGTGTCAGTATTCTCTATTTTTATGCAGATGGAACCACTTTTTTAAAAAAATAGCAATAGATTTAGCTGCAGAGGAGAATGTGAGTTCTGTGTGGAGCTGGTTTTTCAGCACCGTAGTCCTAGTGAGCTCTGTCTTAACCAGCATAGAAGTGGCTGAAGTTTGTAAGTGAGTAGAGCACTCAAAATCCAGTTAATCTTTAGAATCTCCCTCTGGACTGTGGCCATGTTACTGCTTGTAGAAGTGGAAACATTCTCCCCAGGGAGAAGTATCTTCTTGACTTCCTAACCTGGAAATATTGTTTGTTATCATAAAGCAGGATGGAGAAGAGGTGGTGAGTATTTGCATAGAGACAAAGGGGAAAGTGTCAATATTTGGAGAAGTGTTTACTCTTTTTTGAAGAAGTGTTTTGTTACTATTTGGTATTTCCCTTGGATTGGGCATTGTCTGTGGTGCCTGCTCAGTGTACCATTGAAAACAACAATGAACCTCTTTTTTTAACCAGGGTCTACTCTGTGATGGTTAACAAATGTGTCAAGGGTGGCACAAATTTTCTCTATATTTTATATTTCATTTGATCATCTTTTCTTGGTCATTTATTTTATTTTATTGTTGTGCCTGTCCTTGGGCTTAAATTCAGGGCATGAATGTTGCCCCATGAACTTTCTATGCTCAAGGCTATTGCTCTACCACTTGAGACACAGTTCCAGTTCCAGCCTTTTGGTGATTAATTGGAGATAAGAGTCTCAAGAACTTTCCTGACTGGG